AAATTTTTACAAGACTCAATTTGTATTAATATCAAAGACCGGCCAGCGGATGTTTAATATTGCTTGTAATCTCCACTGTCATTGAGGGCTTCGTTAAACTGCATGTTTAAATAGATTTGAGTTCTATCCTTTAAAATCAACAAGTACTTCTTGCTTACGTAATTCTTACTCTAATTACTTAGATGCTCTTTTAAAAAGGGATATCACATTATTATGTATAAAAATGGATAATGTTAAGAATGTGTACATTAGAGGAATTTTGAAAGTAGCGCCAGTGGTGGAAAATTGAGAAGAATTCGACGAGACGATGGGGACATAAACCAGAAAGTGTTAAGATTGAATGTGGATGGCTACAAAGGTAGAGGAAGATCGAAGAAAGTATGGATGGATTTTGTGAGAGAGTATATGCTTTAGACAGGAGTGGATTCAGATATAACGGATGATAGAGATGTATGGAAGAGGAGCGCATACTGTGCTGTAAGTGATAAGGCCAAGTGGATGATGATCACATTATTATGTATATAATTAAAACGTTAATTTTATAAATATATGATGCGTTTCAACGTTATCATTAAATGATAGGAGTCTCGCACCATAACGTTTTGGTACAGTCGGTCTGTGTGTAGGCTCGCCGCGCTCCGCTGCCCGCCATCGGAACTCGACAATTGCTTTGTCGGAAGTAAACCGCTACACCGTTTTAAATTATATTTCAAATTTATGTGAGAAACTAATAAATTATTCCACTTAATGTAACGCAGTATTAACGCGGTGGTCTACACATACTCATGACATATGACTAGAAAAGATATTGAAGTTATTTTTTTTTCTTTATATATAATATAAACTTTTCGTTACTTTTTAATATGATATGTATATAACCAGTATTACTTGAATACTGGAATGACAAATAATTAAATAACAATAGCTATCTCAGTTTATCTAAATTAGACCAAAAATACATAAGAAGAAACATAAAAAATTAAATTGATTTTGCTTATAGTCAGTTTATTCCTAAGTTTAACTTAAACCGCGTTTTGTAATGCTACCTTTAAAGAGTTAAGCTCTAGAGAACTTTAAAATTCAACACGTGGGAATGTTTTATAACTATATCGTATTCCGATATCGGTGTAATTTATTCATGAAGTCAGTAGAGCAAAACTACCAAAACAAAACTGGAATATGTTAAGAACAATTGTGGGAACGGTCGTTGCCACACAGAATATATGAATATTCAAATTGTCTGTTAGAATTTTAACTTAACC